CTTTGAACTGAAGAGAACAATTAGAGAATACAAAAAAATGTGCATGCAATTCTTTCTATGGCTGTCAACATATACTCACTCCATCACTCATTTTGATGAAGGATCCCAAAGAACATGCCTCAATTGTAATTGTGAGTTTACTTTGTCTTTACCTGTATAAGGATTAAGTTTAACCCTAACCCATGTTATGTATTAAAGCTGGGAAACTTTCAAACCACAATTATGTAATACAATCTATTAGGTTAGCCCTGTTGTTGTTACAGGGCTTTTTCAAACAATAATGTAAAAACCTGTTATTTTGTGCATAATATGAAGGTGGGATAGATACAAGCTACTCCTAGATCTCTCCATTAAAATAAAGTTACACTAAAATGCCAGACAGAAGACATAAGGACAATTTGGTATAAAAGGTTTATCAGCGATGGCAAAGGTCATGTTTAATAACTATATAAATCACTGCAGTTTGAAGGCAGAAAATGAGTTTAAAAGTGATGTCTGTGCAAAGTTACAAGTATCTAGCCTTTCCCTTGGGTCGCACATTAATAAGCTGCTATATATTCCAGCGACATGAGGAGTTGTATGGGCCGTGTGCTGTAGGTAAGTGGGACAGTTGATGGGGACAGGTCCCTGTGCCTCTCGTCCTCTGGCTCCGAGCTGCAGCCACTGGACTGAATTATACATGGCCCTGTGCTGTGCTGCTGGGGGTGCACTTCATATTAATTTACATAAAGTGAATCAAGGAACTGTAAGATCACTCAAACCTATTAGTGAGAAAACTTTGTGGTTTACTTTGCAGTTTCTTCAAATGTTCTCATAACTTACATGCATGTATTTGGTGCAAAGGATTAAGACAACATTCAAGTTCCTTCTTCCTGATCCATCCTTTTCTTTAACCTTCATGACATTACATTTTACTAATAAGTGGCACTTACAATGCCTTCCCTTGTCTCATAAAAGTTGGATTAAAGAATTCAGATGCAGAATTGCACTTTCAACACTTTGGAGGCAGTTTTTATCGACCCCACCGTCCACCAGTTTTATTTAAAAAAAATATGAATTGAGAATAAACTCTGATTTTCAACAGTGACGTCCAAAGTTGGCTGCTTAGAACTGATACATGTAATGCTATGTATCTTTTTTAGCACGTATAGAGATGTACTATACTAAACCTGGGACTTTCAACACAGCAATATACATCTATGAAACAATCATTTCAATTTTCTTACTTTGTTGTGACTTTATATGAATATTGAGAACTTAAATGCCGTACTGAATTCTCGAAGCATCGTCAAACATCGTCCCAACTCGAAATCCACTGTCCTTTTTGTGGAAATGCATCAATTGGAGTTGTAAATCAATCTTTCGTCAATGTAAAACACACAAACACAATCTCCATAGTTGCAGACCAATCTGTAACGTGAGTGCAGAGCTACGATTGGATTAAGCGTCACTAATTACCTTGCGACGCTCCAGCCTATTGACTAAATCACAAGACACTAAAGTAATTTCAATCAATTCCAGTGTTTCTATAGACTTGTTACTGTAATCGTCCTGGTTCAAGTTACCCCATTAAAACTATTGATTATGATGCAGAAGAATAAAGGCTGGCAATATTGGATGCAAAACATTACAAGAGCCTTTTATTTCTGGCGTCATATTCACTCATATCACAGGCGTTACATAGTTTACCATGTTTTTTATGTGTCAATATTCAAATACTCTGAAAATAATGGATATCCTTCAGAAATGTGCTGTCTTTGTGGAGTCGGACTGAAGAAATCCATAGATAGACCATGGACTGTACATTAATAGACAATGACCCACTCAACCATATATGCTGATTATTAGGTTAATAAATATGATAATTCGGGTCACACTATAATTTTGCAAACAGGAAAATATGAATCTTCATACTTTTAAGAAGGAAAGAACGACATTTTTTAATTTAAATGCTTTCATTAAATTCCACTCTGGTGCTCTGTGTTCTGGGTGCGGCTCTGGCTGCCACCCCCCCGGCCCAGAAATGGATTAAGGGGAAGAAAATGGATGGATGGATGCTTTCATTAAATTCCACTGATAGAACCAATAAGTTTAGTCTTATTTCAAGCAGCATCTCATTAGAGTGCTTTCTTGGATTTGTCCCATATTCAAAAGCTTTTTAAAGAGTGTTTGATAGTAATTCTATCTTCAAGCACTTAGAAGCATGGAAGGAGTGTGGATTTTAGTTATTTTGGTATTTGGTTTCATTTTGACATAAGTTGTTTTCATTTTAGTTTTACTTCCTGTCCTATTCCCCTGTTTGATTGTCCGCCCCGCCCTAAATGTGTTTGTTGGTACCTTGTGCTCTTCCCTGTTTGTTTGTCCTTTGACATTGTCTTTGCCTGTGTTCCTGGTGCTTGTTCTATTTGTCTATGTTGTTGGTACTGGTCTGATGGCAACTTCTGATTTTCCCTTATGTTATAATTAAAATATCTATGAGTGGGCTTCAAAACATCTATATATATGTTGAAATCTCCTTTAATGTTCCACTCATATTTTTATATTCCCCAATTTATGGAGATAATTTTGCTCCTTGTTGCCTACTGTGCTTACAGTTTATACATACTCTACACATGTAAATATATAAACATAAATATACAACCAAGCAACAGTATTGATATATATTTACAAGTTAAATATATATCTTCAAATGTATTTCTATTTACAATTTTTCATCTCGAAATGGAATGGTAAAGAAGTCAAAATATCCAAAAAATGTCTTCCATTGCAAAAATCTACTGAAGACATTTTTTCACAGCAATTATTTTGAATGAAAGAAAAGTTGCTATTTTACAGAAGCCCCCCAACTGAAATAAAATTCTAGTAAATGAACGTAGCCTATTGACAAATCAACAGTCTTGTGAATGTGGGTGTCATCATTTTGAGCTCTACAAAAAAAACACCCATTTGAATTGACCCATCGACACCAAATGGCAACATGGAAATGGGCAAATTCATGCAGCCGCAGTAATACAGTAAAACCACACTGCATTCTTCTTTCATGTTTTCGGCTACTCCACTTTAACACACACACACACTCTCTTCTGCTGAATCCATCTGTCCATATTGGCAAAGAGCTTTTACATTAAGACTCGATAGGCAACAGATTCACCGTACTTCACTTTTTCCATCTCTTTCTTGATTTTTTCACACTCTCTCTCACACAAACGCACGCACATGCACCCTAACAACGACACACACATAGACACACAGATACACACAGCAGGAGCGTTGTGACTGACACGAGCGGGGCTAATGATACAAAACCCCAGCTGCGTCGGAGTCAGATTTAGCCCCGGTTACATCTGCTGCCGCACTACACAGACTGTGCACCTTCGGGCAAGAAGTGAAGTCTGTGCCAAAACGGAGCCAATGTCAACAAAGATGAGCAAGCAGGGTTCCATCAAGACCCTGTTTGTTCACTCAGGCAAAAAGTGTGAGTATAGTTCATCATCCAAATATGTTGCACCTATTTTGAAGGGAGAGGCTGCCAGACAATCGCGAAGGAAGCACTTTGGTTTATGTGTAAAAAATAGCAAACCAGACTTACCATTGTCTTATTCTTAGTTATACTGTGTACCTAAATGTAGGTTCACTAAATAAGCCCAACTAGGTTTTCTGTGAAGGAATATAAATGTCCCCCTCCACAGAAGTAGAGTGATTAATGAATAAGTAAGTGCACTACATGGAATCAAGGAACCATTGTGCACAGCAGCAGTGACCCGTACATCGTCCAAAGGCACAAGATCGTTCATGCAGCATCAATACAGCAATCGTCTGTGGAACAAGGCAAGCCTGATTTTGACATTCAACGGTCACTGCAAGAGAGGCTATTGTCTGCTTTGTTTATATTCCATCTGTTCGTTCTTTTAGTTTTGCTTAAGTCGGCTCCAAGTAGCAGTGTAGGCAGAGATGCTGGGTCTTTCCAGGAGTCATGTCCAGAACATCTGCCCAGTCAGGGATCCAGGAAGCATACAAATCAGATGCCAAAGCCACTTCAGCTGGCTCCTCTTGGTGTGTGGAGGAGCAGGGGCTCTACTGCAAGCTCCTCCCCTGTGAATGAGCTCCTCACTCAATCTTGAAAGTGGGTGCCCACCTGTGTAAAAAACTAATTTTGACCGATTATCGCCCCAATCTTGTCCTGTCAGTAATCACCCAAAACTCATCACAGTTGGCGCTTGGGGATGCAGACAGTTTGCATACGTGTGTTCTCCATTTGAGATTTGATATGAACTCTGAATAAGATTTTCACACAAAGAATGGGAATAAAAATCATGTGAATCACACATTCCTTGTGACTGAAGAGCCCATAAAGGATAAACCTGCTGCAAGATAAGGAACTATATAGCACTAAATAGAGCTATTAGGTTTTTTAAAGTTTCCAGATCCAGTTTACTGTATAACACAAGGGTTATTATATTTAAGGATCCATTCATTTTCTTTCCCTTAATCCATTTCTGAGTCAGGGGGGTGGCAGTCAGAGCTGCACCCAGTACACAGAGCACCAGCCCCTCACTGATCCTCCTGCAGGTGGTGAGTCCACAGGAGCTGAGATCTTTCAGTTGGGGCTTTGGGCAAAGTGGGGTTAAGTGTCTTGCCCAAGGACACAACGACATCAGTCATCAGTGGTTGAGGTGAGAAACGAACCCATGACCTTCAGGCCTAAAAGCCAATGCTCTACCAACTGAGCAACTGTTATCCTTTTACATTCTTTTCTATAAGGATGTAAAAGGATAACAGTCTGTGTGGAGAAGAAAACAACTGCTAAAAAAATCGATTGGCATTTCCTTTTTTATTGGAAATATAACTCCACTTAACTTTTTATGACAACAAAAGCAGCAGGTATCAGCAGTGATGCAGCGTGAACATTAAAGTGAGCGTTTGTCACAGTCTTAGAAACGAACGAGGCAGATCATTTGGCAGACGGAGTGTTTATGACGTAGCTTAGTCCTGAGTGTGTCCTACAGCAGGCAGGTCAGCAGCAGCAGTGGCAACAGCATCAGGAGGTGTTCTAGTCGAGGAGGCGGTGAGGACGGGTTGGTCTGGTTGCAGTCGTTGTTATAGCAGCAGTAGACCGAGACTCCGGGTGACCAGTAGCCCTGACCGTTGGCCTGACTGCAGAAGGACTTGTACGAGCAGGACTTCATCATCCCACCTGGAAACAAAGAAAGCAATAAATACAACAACGGGTCGTTCTGGGCTCTGCAATAACGATACCACTGTCTTTGCGGTTGTATTAAAGTTTCATATAGGAACGCAATTGTTTGTGGGAGAAAAATGTTGGTTTTATTGGAGGCTTTTTTTTTTTTTAAGCGTGGAATTCAATAAAGTGCACTTGCAATAGAGCACATGGATTTCCTCTTTCTAAAATATCCTCGTCAAACTAGAAAACATGTTTTAACCGTTTTTACAGTGGTTCATCATTATTGACAGATCATTCACAAACACGTACAGATCCAATGTCATGAGTGCTTGGATTTATTTATATAGAGTATTTGTCATTGTGCAGTGGTTACAAGTCAATTAAATGCTTTAGAATGATGTATAACAGGCCATAGTCGCCCATATTAACCAATGGCTATCAAGTTTTGACGATAATTTAATCATTTTGAGTTGGGTCATTGAGTTATTTTGGGTGGGAAACACTTTTGTTCATATTAAAGCCAGAATCAGAAATATTTTGATTGCCATTGTAAGAAACAGGCAGTCACAAGTTATAATACTAAGGCATGCATCACATTTTTTAATAAAATTATAAATTGTACATAAATACACACAACAGACTTTCAGTCTTTCAGACTTTCAGACTTTCAGTGGGGGCTTTGCCCAAAGCCCCCACTGAAAGATCAAGGCTATGCTCTCACTCAGAGAGCAGCCGTCCTCCTGTGGACTCACCACCTGCAGAGGGTCAGTGAGGGGCTGGTGCTATGAGACTTGGGTGGCATCTCTGATTGCCACCCCCCTGACCCAGAAATGGATTAAAGGGAAGAAAATGGATGGATGGATGGACACACAACAGACATTTTCCTTCATTCATTTTAGCAATACTTCATTTTGTGTCTGGTCCATTTTCTTGTCGTTAATTTGACATGTTATCCCGGTTGAGTCTCCATACTCACTTGATATAACTATAAACTTAGTGATGTTGACTGTGCCATTCTGTTGAAACCCTCAGGATACATAACTGTTACATTATAAAGTATTATTCATGCAGTTTAGTGTTCAGTTCCCTGGATGAATCTTCTTCGATACACACTTAGAATAACCTTTTAACCACACTCACTTTGGCAGGTGTGGATTTAACAGAGAAAGCAACACATTTGGCCGAGAAAATCCTTGGAACTTTCCACTTTCCGTTCTGTTTTGCCGTTGCATAAACATGACAGCATTGGTGATATTTTGCAGTAATCCGCAGCAGAGGAGTTGTCTGGCTTCTGTGGACACACGGTGGCCTAATTAAAGGATATTGACTGAGTGGGAGTTCACAAAAGCACTCCGTTCCCTTTAAAGCAGAGCGAGGCCCCCTGTTGGCTGCAAAGTGTCCCTATAGACGTGAGCCAAGCACCCATTTAACACAACAATATTTCACAGGCCCTGGATTGAACTACATAGCGTAGGCAGTGGGGAGGATAAAGAAGTTTAAGCTGCTAAAACTGCAGACTGAACTTACTGTCATGGCCCTGCACCACGGCACAGGCATCCGAGAAACTAGGACACGGTTTGGACCCTTGCCGGTTACAGTCCTCATTATTGGAGCCCATGCAGGTGTAACACTGGAGAGCCGCCGCTGAAAGAGAGAAGGGACTGCTCAGCTTTGGACCAGACAAAAGACAAAGTTTACGAGGATTTTACAACTGGTCGGATCATTTTAAGGGAGCAATTAGAAAGACTTTGAGACAAAGAGGGAGAGGGCAGCCAAACCTCCAGTACCTGTAATGTTACTTCAAATCCAAAAGTCTCAACTATAAGTGCAGAGTGTAATTGAGAAGATAGAATTAAAGCTGAGGTATCTAACTTTTTCTTTTTCTGTCTGTCTTGTAAAATTAAGTTCAAATCAGACCACAAATTATGTCTTTATCTTAATAGAAAACATTTTATCTTTTGCATAGAAAGCGCCCTGTGAGTAACTATTTGATGCTTTGGGCTGAGAGTGAGGGTGGTCCTTTCTTTGTTGCGATTTTGAGACTGAAGAAACTAGTTCCTTTGTCTGTGTGTAGGTTGAAAGTTAGATACCAGAGTTTTATAGAAAAAAAATATATATATATATATTTTTTTATATATATATATATAAAATATATATATATATATTTTTTGTAAGCGCTTTTCATGCAACACAAAGGGATTCACCGATTATTAAAAACACTGACCAATAACCCATAGTCATGCAATTGTGCAACTGTAATGATATCATAGGTACAAAATGATAAAATGGTTTAAACTTTGATGAAAAGGTCAACAATAAACTCAGATTTCATAACAGCAGTCGTCTCAAAGGGCTTGATTTGCCAACAGCAGATTCAAAAAATCAAACGATAAAACAAAAAGAATAGTCCATAAGATTCTTGAGCCAGTGGGAAAATGTCTGAGTATTCCTTGTTCTTAGACCTTCCTCCTTCAGCAAGGAAACTTAATCCAGTGGGAGAAAAAGTGAGAAACCTCTGACGGTTCAGGGCTAAGGCTGAAAATGAGTCCACGATGTAGGTCCACGGGTCCGGGCAATGCTATTTTGGAAAAACCTTATTTGTATGCAATGTTTTTTTACTTCTCTGTTCAACTTTCCAGACAATATAATTTGCTCCATTTTCTAAACTAACCCAAGTGAGATTAAACGTACTGCATTCTCAAAAACCTCATCCTGAATCCTTATTTACCAGTCCATCAGCTTACAAAACCGTCTCACAGCCAAACAAACCGCTTAAATTTGACATCCACATTATGCTAAGCTTTCTTTATGATTGTATGGCTTGACACTATCTGCATAAGCTTTTAAATAAGCATGTGTGATGACTACCTTGTGATAATAGCTCTCAAATGGAGAATGACTCACAAACTTCAAACAAAGACTAAAACAAGAAAAAACATTGGTCTAACTTTCCACCCAGCGCGTCTGCCTGTCTCCTTAAATGTCTCACTAAAGCTCTCCGGAGGGAACAAGAGCAGGTTTTTGTAGAAGTTGCTGACCTTTGAAATACCACTTCCTTTTGAAAACGCTCATCCGTCTCCTAAAATCTAAAGTGGTTCCTCAGAAACATCCTTTAATGCTGTTTCCTAAGAGGATCAAACCGAGCCTGGACTTATAGCAATCACTAAAAGCCTTCAAAGCCCGTGGCACACTACAGTATCTCTTGTCTTGCGTTTCAAAATGCCATTTTGGAAATGTTTTGTCATGTTTTCAGGCTATAGTCATGAAAGAGGAGGAAATGGAGGATTGGGATGAATGCTGAAATCTAAACATTTGCAGAAGGATGCAGGTACATTGGTGCAAGGACTGGACAGTTTTTGTACAACCAGACGATTCTATCACATTTGGATTGTTAAAATAAATATCCTCAGTGATATCCTCAGTTTTTCCAATGTGGTTTTACTGCAAATGGCAAATAAATGAATCTGAATCTGAATCTCTCAGAACATTCGACAATATTCAGTGAAGTTCTTTAAATGTTAACATCGGGCAGGTCCGAACTAAGAAATGTGGCCAGGACAAGCCATTAAGGTACTCTCATTGTCATCCAGCCAACTTCAGCTCCACCAATAGTCACTGTCATGCTATACCTCATTGGAAAGCTTTGGAAGATGTGTCTTTTGTTTTGGTTTTGTTTATTTCCATATATTGCGCTAAGGTAGCTATGATCTTATCATACTCCTATTTTAAAGCCCAGAGAAGCCCAAATCCAATTCTTTTGACAAGTCTGGTTAATCAAAACAGCCCTCTTGCTAAAAGGTCTACATTAATATTCGCAATATTAAGACAGTAGAGTCGACGAGATGAGCCCTAATGTCCACCGTCACCTTCTGAATATAATCACTTACTATTCTCTTTTTAAATATTCTACTCATGACGCTGGCCAGAAAAGGAAAGTAGAAAGGCCTATATAAGTTGAATTAAGTTTGTGAAATACTCCTTTAGGGAAAGGGGTATTGTCATAATTATGTGGGTGTAATTAGATTTGTTTGATTTTTATCCCTGAAAAACGTGAAAAAATGGGAAAAGTAATACCACGAAAGTGCCCTTTTTATTAGCCTTGGTGGCAGTGGATTCATTTTTACTTGAGATAAATTTGTTGAGAAAAATCACACTGGATTTTCGTTTTTTTCTTAGAGGGATAACTGTGAATGAAGGCGGAGCGGAGGATGAGAGGATGAGAGGATGAAGAGGATGAAGAGAGAGGAGGCATGAGAAAAGGAAGCGGTTTTTTACACACTTTTTAAAAACACAAACTCTGAACAAAATCACACTGTGAAATATCATTGATATTCAGTTACAGAAGCATCATTTAAAAGCCTCTAATCACCAGACACATAAATATCAATATCGTCGTACAACAGACGCATGCAATGGAGCTGGCTGTTAAGAAACCGGACACTAAAACATGTATTGTAAAAAACACGTCTAAAAGGATGACATTGACAAATACGAATGAAGCACTTGATAATGAAAACTCAACTTACAGGTACCACTTGTGTTTTAGGGACACTATGACCTGTGTTAAAGGGACAGTAGTCATAATTTATTTTTATAATTACATCTACATATGATGTGTGTGTCTAGATAATAACATTGATTACAATTTCACAAATAGTTTGACCAGGATCTGAAAAAGCTAATTATTTTGATGTTTGTTTTGGATTAGCTGTATGGCTTATTACAATGTATCTTCACATTGATATAGATTGATTATCAATTTCAAAATATATATCATGCCAACTAACTATATTTTCATTCATTCTATTTTTTCTCCATCCATAGATGTAGTCTCTTGTGTTGTGTTTTTACAGTAGTTGTCTCACGTCCTGCGCTCTGCTCGCTGTGTTGACAAGACAAAATAAATGCCCCCCCTGGAGCTGCATGACCCCGTTCTCTCCCCACTGCAGCTCCACACACGCTCCAGGTATTAGCACTCAGCCCTATTAAAAGATTAGCCTTCTCTGGGATGGCATGCTAACAGTAGCGGATCAAAGACACAATATGTAATCAACCAGGAAATGAATTACTCTGCTCAAGTTCATCCATAATACATTAATTACTAGATTACTTATGTGGTTAGTTTTTAGATTTTGTTTTAGAAGCTATATTCATTACAGTGACCAGCCTCAGGAACTTCCAGAAAATATACACGGAACTTATTGAAAATATAAAACTGCAACATAGCATTTCAATGATTTACAAAACTATATCCATAAAGTTATCATTCTTTAAACAAGAAATCCCATTTAGATCATTTGTTCATTGGACAGGGAACATGTGCATTAGTAAACATCAGCGTAAATGCACCAGAATTGGCCACAAGGCTATTTTTACATTCGTTGTCCCTGGACCAAATTTTAGAAATGGTCAATCTATATCTGTATATCTGGATTATACAACACAAGACCATCAAAAGTTCATCAGTGCAATTGGCTGCATGAATAACACACTTTTAATCGTGTATTGTTAAGAATGCATTGACTCAAAATACTATAGTCATCTTTTTAGAATAATCAATTTTGTTTTTTATTTTTGCTGCTACTAGACATGTGAATTTATTCTACGGGGATCAATAAAGTATCTATATCTATCTATCTCTCCATAGTGCTTTTGTGACACCGAAAACCCCTTTCATCATACACTGTGCCAAAGCTGACTTGGGGGTAGACTGAGAGAAGTGAGGCTACCAATCTGCGAAAACAAAACCACCACTAGTTATTAATAAATGTTATTCACCAGGTTCAAACTTTGCAATGTGGGTAACGTGTCTTGCCTAAAGACACATGGAGCCATAGGGGTAGGCTTGGTTGCTGTGTGGTCTCCCATCCAAGTGCTAACCGGACCCAGAACTGCTTAGCTTCTGGGATTATGACATGGTCTAGCTATGTGCAGAAGTGGACCTTTCTGAGAGAGAGAAGCATGGTGGCACCAGAACAGTTGGAGAGGGCTGAACGTACAATAATACAACCTGAAGTCATGACCGCAAACAGTTTTAGTGCAAAATGACACATTAGCTCATTATCTAATAAAGAAATATAAAAAACATCAAAGTGACTGATGAACGGTCAAACATTGCTCTACTAAGTAAAGTCAGTCTGAGTGTTATTTAATGTCAGTGTGGTTCCAGCTGTTTGGGGATGGCCTCAGAGCTATGTTTAGAGTGCATTGGTCGCTAAACAGCATCATGAAGGCCAAGGGGCACTTCAGCGGGGTCAGTGATAACGTCATTAAAGCATGGTTAGACTATACAAACATATCCACACTTTGATCATCTCACAGACCACCGTTTAATCTATGATCTGGGAATGGAGAGAGTATGGGGCACTGCCAATCTACCAATACATGGCTAACCAAAATAACAGCTTGAACAACAACAGTAATCAGAGATGCCGACACAAGGCCAATAATTACTCTGGAGTCGCTGCAGACATCCACAGCTCACCTGAGGAATCTGAACATGGAACAATTATTTTATATTAATAATATCAGAATATATTATTTGTTACACACTGCAAAAACTCAAAATCCAGACCTCAATCATCTGAAAATTGTTGTTCATAAACACTCTCCATCTAATCTGACAGAGCTCGAGTTTTGTAAACACAAGTGCAAAACTGTCTGTCTCTAGATGTGCGAGACTTGCTGCTGGGATGGCAGCAAAAAGGGCTCCACAAAGTATTATCTTGAGAATACTTTTCAAGGATAATGTGTTTTAGCTGATATTGTATACAGTGAACATCTGAAAAAGAAAAGATAGCAAGTCTAGACATAACTGCCCATAGAGAATAACAATAAAGAAAATATGTTTTCACAGGACAAAATCTCATATGAAATCAAACGGTTCTTACTGTGTGTTGCTAGCAGCATTGTCGACAGCAGTAGTAGTGGACAGTACATATCTCTGGTGGTCATCTGGTCACACAATGAGAGGCAGGCTGTTTACTCCCAAAGCCTGTGGGACATAATCTTTGAGCGATCAGATGAGCTAATATCCTCCAGGATCAGCACTTCCTCCAGACGCCGGCTCTGTCTGCTCACACCTCTGATTGGGGTCAGTGCACAGCGATGCTCATGAACTTGTCACCCATGTCACTGCTGGCAATAAATATGTGGATAAGAAACGTAAAATCTGCTTGTGGTTAAATTAAAGCTGAAAGGTTGACTGTTGTCCACATCAAACTTTAACTTCATTTCTCATAAAAGCCTAGTAATAAAAACAGTTTGAGTTTGATATGTTTAGCTGTGTTTATCCTGTATGTCTCGCCTCCACCCTCCAATTCAGGTTTCTTGTTATAGGTTTGGTCCAAAGGCAACATATTTTTCTAGATATTTTCTTTTTTGTTGGCTATTGGGAAGCACTTTGAATTGCCTCATGTAGGAATTGTGCTAAACCAATATCATTTGATTTGAAGTCGCTTATAGGCATTTCTATTTGTATATTCAGTAGTTATTTGAACATGGTTTTGACTGATCTATTATGTTTTTAGGTGCACAAGATATTATTAAAAACCCAATTATCAAATCATTTTAACCCAGTTTGAATTGAACACACTAACACTACAAATACAAGCTATTTGTTGTTAAAACATATTCCCTTCATTAAAATCTTAATAAACACTTATTTTGATCTTGATTAGGGATTGTATTTATGAATATATGCATGCTGTACATAAACTGTTGTCTAGAGATATCACAGCATTCCAAAGAGCCTGTAGCTTCAAGTTGTGGGGGAAGGCAGCTGAAAAATATTTCCTGGTAATTATGTTGTCAAAGGTAAGACTTTTCATCTCAGTTTATAATTCCTAGTAAGTAAGTAAGTAAGTAATCTTTATTTATATACCGCCTTTCACAGACCAGAGTCACAAAGCGGTTTACAATTGTTATTTTTTGGGCACTTGTCCTCTCACTCCACACAGAGATGGGAGTGGGGTCGCCGAACAGGAGGCGCATGCCAGAACTATTGTACATATTTTTAGTGGTAGGGGAAACCGGAGTACCCGGAGGAAACCTACGCATATTCCTCTGTTATCCCTGGGACAATCCTCTTGAAGCAAAAATATCACACATCTTCTTTGTCAGTAGATACAAAGTATGGTCTAATAAGGTGTTCAGAAGTGAGTGACAATATTCAAAAAACCTATGATTGATGTTGCAGGACATTCAGACACGGCAATGTCAGTATGAAAGGGAAAACTCCTTTTTAATTTCTAATAGGTTCTAGTTTTGTCATTTCAGTATAAAGCATTTATTCATTTACTGAACTGTGATTGAGTTGCTTTGTTTTTCCCTCCCTCATGGTTTAGGCGCTTTGTGACATTGGCAATTTTGAACTGCTGTGAGAGAGGGCTGCCTGCTGTGAGGCTGCACCGTTGAACCTTTCTCATCTTTAAGTGCTGTAGGATTTTTTTCTGTTCATTGTTTAAAAAAAAAAAAGATAAATTCACATTTTGAGCACTCTACTCCTGCGTGTTTCGTGCTGTTGGAAATAATCCAGATCCCTGCCCCCACTACAGCTGGTTCAAAATGCTGCTGCTCGGTTTTTAACTGGGAAGGTGGGAGCCTATAAGCTTGACTTCCTCCCACTCCTTTTTGAGCTTTAACAGGAGTGAAAATAAATAAATAAAAATGTATATATATTAATGTATGTATGTATGTACATTTCTATCATGTTATATGTAATTGCTGTTAAATCTATAATTGATTCCTGTTTATAAGCTTGAAATAAAATACAATCAGTCAAGCAATCAGTCAAGATGTTCTTATAGTTTAGTGTTAATCTTAAAGTCTTTGCACTGGCTTCCAGTTTCATTCTGCATTGATTTTAAAATGATCATACTTGTGTTCAAACATCTTCCTAGCCTCGCCCTTCTCACTGACGTCCTCAGGTATGACTCTGCACGCTCCAGGTCGGCTGAGCTCGGTGGGTTTACTTAAAACAAAGAGGGGGTCGAGCTTTTAGTCTAAACACTGGAATGAGCTCCTTTTGCACCTTGTATATTGAGTTTGAAGCAGATCATAAGCACTTTGTTCTAAATTGATTACCTGCAAATTAAATATTGGATGAACAAATAGAAAAGGTCAGCGCCTGTTGACTGCAGTGTTGTATTGCCATCTTTTATTGCACATTTGAAGGCAAAGCTGTACAGTAGCTGTGCAGAGAGCCCGTGTGACACAACGAAGATAGACAACATCCAAATTAAGTTACTCCTTTGTCACAACTCAATACACATACACGGTTTATATGTATTTATATAGATCGTTATATCAAAATAAATCCCCCAAAAATAAAGTTACACATTATAATAAGCTATGACAAATATCTACAGGGTTACATGAAGGAGGCGAGAACTATCAAAATGCATCTTTCTGATATTTACAAACATTAATATTACTGTTCTTACATGCAGGAAGCTACAGGTTTTAAAGTGGTGTATCGACAAGGTGGTCTCTGTAACAAGAGCAGGTAAAACAGTCTTCTCCCCCTGTGGCTGTCATGGCCTCATTAATATATATAATTAATCTCAGTCATTCAAATACTTGCGCTTATAAACATTCGCTCCAAAGTGATATACGGGACATTTTGAAAACTTTACACCAGACCTTAAAAGAGCACAATATACATAGTCACATCAAAATGTACAGAGTAGTATAGGAAGCCAGTCCAGTGGATTTCTGTACATTTATTAACAGTTATGACCCCAAATAAAGCTTTAGTCCATGTTTTTTATCGTGGAGTCTTTTTAAACCAGTTTTCAGGGTTTCTCTTCATCACGGACCGGTTAACTCTTCCCCATTTTGGCGATGAGCTCGTCACAGATCTTTGTCAACTCCTCAATCTCTTTGTTCTGTAACAAAAGGCAGAGTGAAGACGTGCAAAAATAATAGTATTTGTCTCAATATGATTAATTATCTCATTGTCATCCGTTTAATTTGAGAGATATTATTCAGTCATATTCTCAATATGCACATAGTGGCTCATTTGTTTTGTATGTAAATAGACCAGCATTAGATTTTCAGTTTCAGTTGGTTTCAATATTTCAATACAAGTTTGAAGTTTAATACAGTTGGTTTATTTTGAATATACTCCACTTGGAAACACTGAATTATAGTTTAATTTCTGTTGCAAACTCTAAATATTATAACTTGCAGAAGTCCTATTTTTTCAGCCAATCTGTTATGACAGGTGTACGTCTAATTCTAGCATTTTATTTTTATTCATAAGTAGCTCCGGCGCCTTGTTAGCCTGTTAAGGGTTTGCACAAACTTCAGAAGTTACACAAACTAATATTAGATCTTAGTCTGAATCATGGTCTTGGGGCAAAAATCTGGGAAAACAGAAAGTCGCAAAACGCACCTTGAATGTACTTGAGTTATATTTTCTACAGTTGAAATGAAGATGTAAGGACAAAATAAAGGAATCCTAATATTTCTGAACGGGTAAAGTTGGTCTAATGTGCAACAATGTTATTTGTTTTTCCTTCTTGGCTACCTCCGCTTTATTACTTACTAAAGTGTTCAGTGATTTCCGCATGTTTGAGTTGTCTTTACTCTGGAATCATGGTCGATGGAGAACAGTGTTTACTGCACTGGTGCACAACCTCTGTTCTTTACTCTTAGTAGGTATTTTGGCTAAAAGAATACTCTGCTGCTCACTGCCATGATCTGCTGTCTGCTCTTGTTCATTCATTAAACAAGAGCACAAAATGTCAGTTTTCTAAAGCAGGGCCAGCTCTGTTATTCAGAATAATGAGAAGATTGGAGTGATTAATGATGAAACCCATGACTAACAAAGAGTCTTTACACAACCCAACTTACTGGAACAATTTAACCAACCACACAACTAAAACACACTCAGATTTGTAAGTTTCCTGACCTTCTGCTCCAGCGTGCGCTCCAGCGAGTCCACCTTCATCTGCTCTTTGCGTAGAGTGGCCTGGTACGCCGCCTGCTCCTGTTTGGATTTGACTCTCACTTGAGCTATCTCCGCATTCGCCCTGAAAACAGCACACGTCACCTCTTCATAACCTGCGCAGCACTTTTGCAAACATTACATTCGCAAATCACGAGTACAAAAAAACAGCCTACTTTATTATAATAACAGCGCCACCATGTTTAAAGTCATCTATAGAAACTGTTAATTACATTGGCCTTCTTCCAAACTGGCTTAACAGCGGTGAAAGCATATTGCCTGCTTCCTTTGGGGAGAAAACTAAATGAACTTGAAAGAATGAATGCATGTATTGACTCACTTGTCTAGTTTCTCCTCCGCATGGATCTTTAGGGCTTGATAACGCTGCTCCTCTTTCCGCACCCTCGACAAATACTCTTGTGCGCACTTTTTCAAAACCTCTTCATTCTGAAAGCACAATGACACATGGGTTAATTGCCGGGCATGGCGTTAATGGGGGGAAATATACAATGCCTGTACACAAGTTGCCACATTGGGCTAATTTGCGTGTGCGTCTTTGCGAATCACCTTGCGAAAGCCCTCCAGCACGTCTTTCATTTTCTCGTAGCGTCGGAAAAGATCGGCCAGAGATTTTTCCACCGAGTTGAGGTCGGCGAGCGCTTGGTCTTTCTCCAGGATGAGCTGCTGGATGGTGTGGTGGGACAGGGACTTCTCCTTTTGGTCGTCCTCTGGTTGGAAAATACATATGTGTAACGTTACATCAATGTGTTTCAATAGTGGACGATAACGAGGGAGAAGACTTCCATCGACAAGAATATGGTGACGTCGACTTTACCAGATGTGAGGGTGAGTGGGTGAGTTACTCTGTACAACATGAATGGCTTTATCAGTGATGCATGCAGAGTGTATGGCTAGACGAGGGGTAAAGTCAGACATGGACGATATCTACACGAGTTAAGATTTGTATTCAATCATTGCTTGGGTGACAAACAGTTGCTTTGTTATATTTCGGGGTTATGAGGTTACATCTGAGAAAAGGAACGCACTGAAAGTTTTGCTTTGAAAGGAAATAAACGAAATCACTGGATTTGAAAAGTGAATATGTTAAATACAGTACAGTATATTGATATCCATATTCATTTTCTTCTTGTAAACACTTGTAACTTTAGCATTTGAGAGAACAATTGAAATGTCTCTTTTTGGATACTGCTTAAGCCTAACTTTAACTAAAGCTACATTCAAAAAGTTTACTCTTTATATTATATATAACCATTTAGACGCCAAAGTAGCAGAATATATAAGCTGTATCCAGGATTCTTTCAATACAGCGATCTGGCTTCCCACAAAGATGTATCTTTATTTTTCTTACATATTTTCCATTTATTATTTATGTCATTGATTTTAGTCGTCCTGTATCTTATATAAAATTCCAGGATCCAGTTTCACATCAAATTTATGCAAAAACCGAGGCACCCAACGGGTCAAGTATTGTTCACTAAGCAAATGATTTATTATTGAATGTATTTGTCATCTTTTTTGATCGTCATTACTGTTACCTACACTACACAGAAAAAATATAACATAGGTAGAAACATTTCATATAAAGAATATGTACAGCAGTGATAATAATCTGACATGTCAACTAGTTGTGGGAAACATTACTAATTGGTTTACTACCAGAATAATCACTAGCTGCATCCCTAAAATCCAGGTTGTTGAACTGACCCAAAAGGCAGGTGTGTTTTGCATCAGCTCAACAAAGTCCAAACCAATTTCTCAAAGGAAAATGGATTAGTGAACAGTACGTGGTCTATGCTTTCAAGCTGGACACATGTACAGGCAGCGGTCACAGATGCAGAGGACACATGTGGAGACAGAGTGACGACTGCTACTCACCTGGCATGCCTGTGACAGAAAAGGGGCAAAGATGGCGGCAGAACAGAAAAGAAGGGAGTGTGTTAAAACTCAAGCTGTGGGGCAAGACACGTGACCGTTAGCTCAGCTCTACAAGTCCCTTCTGTGACGGAGCAGAAATTAGGCAGCGGGAAATTGAATCTAGGGATATGTCCACAGGTGTTGGGGTAAGCAGCAGCAGCAGCAGCAGGAATAATGCGTGAGCCTGCAGTGGTTTTTAATGAGTCCCAAAGACGAGGCGCCGCACTAAAATGCAAAAAGGTGCAGCGCCTCTTCTCTCTGAAGGCATCGCGATTCAGGTCAAGTCAGTGCAAAAAGCATCACAAACAGCAAACACAGACATGTAGTCGCTGGAGAAATAAAGTGTTTTTTAACATCTCATCTAAGTCACAGTGGTGATGGATTAAGGCGTATGAAAAACATTCCTTTTTGTACCGTGCAAATTAATTGCTGTCGCAACAAGAAGTGGTAAGTGTTTGGGGGGAAATGGCTCAAAATAAAATGTATGTTGTGTGAAAAAAAGACAACCTTTAAATCACTCACCGATCATCTGTGCAATCGTCTTCTCATATTCTGCAACAATTCGCCTAAAAGAACAGATACAAATCATTTCAAAATTCAAAGGTTTGAATGTGGAATTTCTTAATTGTATTTCCATGAATTTGTGTAGGTGTAAATAACTGAATTTGAGGATAAAGAAATATTCAGTTTGCAAGTGTTTTAAAAAAGCTTTTGGTCTCTCACAGCAGGGGGCAGTAGGAGGCAGCAGTGTTTTGGTAAAAGCAGGTTAGCAGAGGTAAGAGGATTGATTATCTCTGAGACCCTCCTTATCCTCAATCAAATTAGTCAAATTAAATAAATCCTATCTTATCCACAAGGGCTGGGGGCAGCTGGACAGCCAACACCTACTGACAGAAATATGCTGAAATTATATATTTGGAAGAGCCACTTTGACCTCATCTAAATGTTAAATTAGATTGGCCGACCTGTCCATGCTTTATTCTTACATATAGATGCTGGATGTGTGAATGGTACATTCATGTGATCTTGGATACTTTGAGATACCCAAGTAAGATACTACTTCCCATGAATGGGACAGTGAATGAACAGCTACTGCAGTCAATATACCAGAATTAGCTCAAGGCAAGTTTTCATCTGTTGTCCTATCGTACATGTTTATAGGGTTAGATGGAGATTCTGAGAAATTACATGCCAGATTTGGCCCAACAAAAGATCATGTATTATTTGACAGAGAAACAAAAATGTCTTTCCTGATTGGCTAACCCAGACCCCTCCCCAAACTTTAACCAATTTCAACCAATGCCTACACTAGACTTAAGACAGGAGAAATTAGCCACTCAGAAGCCACTTGAATATGGAAAGTACTGAAATTGTAATGTAGTTTTGCTTTACCTCATCTCCACCACTTCCCCTCGGCTCTCTTCATATTTCTTCTGCCACTCCAGGACTTCCTTCTCTTTTGCCACAATCTACAACATGATATCATTGTTTACAGAGATGCCAGATGAAAATAACATTTCTATATGCAGGAGAGAAAATAGATACCGTACCTCCTCCCGTGCAATTCCCAGCGAGTGGTCCATGTCGCTGGGGAGATGGGGGCTCTCTCCCTCAATGTAGCTGCTGGTAGTCCGGGTGTACAGGGAATTCTTAGACACTGAACCGTCATTTGGAGCCGTTTCCTTTCGCTGCACCCAGGAACCAAAAGAAAGAATAGAGAGAAAGGGAAGCATACTAGTTACATAGACTGCAAACACAAGCAGGACGCCTCAAGCTCTCTGGGTACCAACATACACCCATCCTGCACCAAACAGCAGAAAACAGCATGAGATAAGTAAGCCATGTGTAAATTAACCAGCGAAGAGATGATCCTGAAGCCAGCCAATGTTTGTTGTGTTATACCGTCTTCATAGGCACAATATAAGCTCTGTGATTGGCTGATGCGGCCTCCAGCTGAGCGGTCATGGTAACCTGTTTCCCAAAAGCTCCAATGAGATTAGGTTTCCAAGCAAAGGGGAATATGGGCCATGTTTTGGATACAGGTAAACTACATCATGTTATGGGAGTTTAGGCCGAGCCGTGAAGGAAGTGATGCTAGCTCTGTGTTAATATAACTCGCAATGAAGAAGTCTTACCTGTTTGACTAAAGATGTGAACCAACTCTACACCAAATACAAACATGAAAACGAAGATGCTTAAATGGTTTTTTTCATGGAGGGTCTGTTGTCTGTGCATTTTCTTATATTTCATTTTAATAAGCACAACAAACTGTAGATTCAATACCGTTTCATATTTTAAAGTAAAGATTAAGTCGTCTCTCACAGAGCCGGATTACAAAAGGATTTAATGAAATGGGAGATGCTCACAGGGGACAGTGTAAAATACGAAGCAAGAAAAGACTTTTGTCTGAAGTGAGTAATTATTCCAGTGTAGCAGGAAAGGTTAGGTTAGAATAATGTCACGGACAAGTGAATGTAATTGACTTTCAATACTCCAATTTACAAGAAGTTTGGACAAAAACTCAATTTTCTTTGCTTCATTATTTTAAAGGTCCCGAAAGACAATCCCGCGAAATAGTCTTAAATGTCTTTACAGTAGGCACGATACAAAAAAGAGAGACTTTAATTAAACTTAGCATGACGGGATCTAAAACTAGTTTCTAATGACTACATACGCAGCTATAGGGGGTAAAAGTGGCTCATTTCCGATACTAGGTTTTGAGATCCACATGTTAAGAGGGTTCCAAATTCTCTTATTTCATTCTAATTTCCAGGCATAACATGAGACAATTTGCTTCTTGTCAGAGGTATGCCTGATTTTGGTTGAATAAACATAAATTCGGTAGTTGGGTTAGGGTGGATCGCAGGGTTAAATTTATCTTACTTTTATAAGAGGCGACCCATTGATATTCCATCGACGAGTGCTGGGTTTCTTGGGGCAGGACTGTGAAATGTTTGAGAAATAGAATGAGAAATGAACTACATGTCTGGAAGCGGCTAGTGGACCTGAGCAAACTTTCGAAGTTCACTTCACTGCAACTCATCAGCCAAGAAGCAAAACATTTTGCAACGCATTAGTGTCACCACAAGGTAGCAATCATTAAACAATGAAAACATCAAGGGTAGAGATATCTTTTGAGACCCAGTCCCCAAAGAGAATGTGGTTAAAATCCATAGGCATGGTAATAAAGCAATAAATTATGAATAAACCAAGAACTTTGCAAATGTACCAGGCCTAGAATGGTGCTCCCAGATACATCCATGCTCATTTTAAGCCTCATCATGAGCAGGCAACATGCATCAAGTAAAAATGTCTCTTGATAATGAGAAATTCAGCCTGAAACAGCTTGGAGGGGAGCGCTAAGCCAGGTTAGATACAGCAGCCACCATGTCCATAAGACCATGGTTTTGGGGGGAAAGGAGGCTCATGCACACACACCACACCTGCTTTTAAAACACACGCTCAGTCATTCTCCATCCTGGTTAGAGTTAAAGGCACACTACACAAAACGGGAGCAGGTGCAGGCTGACTCAGCTCAGTACCTGGGGGGTTACAGTGGAGAGGGAGGGGCACTGAGAGATGTTTTTGGCTACCTGCAGAGCCTCTATCCTCAGGGCAGCAAGCACCAGCTCCTCCTGGGCCGCGCACACAGAGGGGGGAGGGAGGTGTGCGGCCCAATACAGAAAGGAGCAAAGGAAAAAGATAGAGTAGACACTTCAGTACACACAAGCCCAGAGGAAAGTTTTATCCAATATACAGCAATTCACCCTAAAGGAGTCATTTGAAAGAAACAGATACCCCCCACAAGCATTGGCAAATTTGTGTTATTCATATCTGCTTTGTAATACAAGACAGTTGTGATGTAAAATAGGGAGAGACAGTATCAATCATTGACTGAATGTTTTGGATTGACTGATTATGAGTATGACGCCACCCATAGAGTTCCTGTCATAACAACCAAGGAGAAAAACAGGAGCAAGGCTTGTCCTTTCCTGCTACGCAGCTTAATGAAGCTGCAAAGAGGGTGGGGCTTAGGAAGTAAAATTCAATTAAAATCCACAAATCCAGTTTCAAAAAATGGTGAGCTCATGCGTAAAATGTTTGCCATTATCAAGCTGAACAATTTGCCGCACATTTCAACAAATGCCAATACGTTGGGAGGGCACTGTAAGCTGCTCAAGAAAACAGGTGAAGAATGGAAAAAAGTGCCAAAAACACAGAAAAACGACACACAAATGTCCTGAAAGGCCATAGTTTGTTTGTTGATTGGACATTTTGTGTTGTCTGGAACACACCTGTAGCTTTTGGGCGAATGCTGTGGGGTTGGTCTCTGCCAGGTCAGGCTCCAGATACGGCAGCGGGTCGCCACACTCGGACAGCTGTTCTAAAGGGGCAGGAGCCGGGACAGGAGCAGGGCCAGGAGCAAGGCCCACGGGCTACAGGGCACCAGGGAGCAGAGGGGGGGCAGGAGGGAGGGGTAGGGTCAGCAAAGCAAAGCGAGCTCGCATTGTTTAAGGGCTGTAACTAATCATTGTTTTGATGATCGATTAGTCAAGCAATTATTATTATGATTAATCCATTAGTTTGATCATTTTATATTATTTCTAGACAATAATAATAAGACTTGGGAGAAGCTTCACTAGGTGTTATTAAGTGCAGGTGCTCATCAAGGGTCAGGACAGACATGTAAAAGGTCGCCCTTACAATAATAACACGTTTATATCTTCTACAATTATATTCATGTCATAACTGCTTTTTAGAGTCTTAATCAAATCTCTCAGAATAACTATGTTTTGGAGTGCGTTTATAAAACCGATGAAAAGTAATTGGTTTGGTGCAAATGTTTTCTCTTATCCAGGAAATGGCCCCCACTAATCTACTCAGACTTAGTAGACCAGAAATAGGCTGAACACTGAGAACAAGAGTAACTTTGTCTTCAACTGGTCCTGTCAAATCTAAAGCACATTTTATTTGGCATTTTGTATTTTAGAATGTGACATTTCTTAAAAATAATTCATAATACAGTTGTAGTAGGCTGTTAGTAAATGGCCTCAACGTTATAGCCAGATTTATCTAATCCGCGGTGTTTGTCTCCTCCTTGTGGCTAAACAGATAATGGCATGAAACAGATGTTTCAAACTCAAATTCACATGTACATAAAAATGCAGGCACACAGATGGATGATTCCTGAAGGGACATTGTGAACGTGTATCGGTCAAACTCCACACTCACCTGCTCCTCTCGCTCGATGCTCCTGACGTCTGCTTCGCTCTCTCTCTTGCGGCCCTTGTCTCCAGCGCAGCCCTCTGGACCCGGCCGTGAGCTCAGGGCCGGGGTCTTCATGTCCGCTGAGATCTGTGCCTCCATCTCCTCAAAACTCCTGCAGACAGAGGCACAAACCACCAATGAGGGCAAGTCACGTCGTGCAGTGAGCTATGTTGAAATATCTAGTAGCGTGGTGTGAATGAGAAGAATTTACAAACAAGAGTGAGAAATCTGTCATTACATGTCAACAAACCTGATGTGTATTCCAATCATATAAAGTGAGTGGGATGTCGTCATTAGGCAAAAAGAAAAACCTTTTCAAATAAAAATACTGCTGCTTGTGTCTACAAATTAAATATCTGTTTACTTTAAAGCTGGGGTACTAACTTTACACTCCTCATAAACATCCATGTCGTTTATCCCAATTAAAATGTTCATCGGCCCACCATATGTTATCTTCTGCACACTTGTAAAAAAAAGTGAGTCACAATTTGACACTTAAAGCTGAGAGCTGATTGGCTGAGGGTGGTCCACTATTTTTCACTCTTTTGCCAAAAATATATGGATGTGAAAGCAAGGGACAGAAAAAAAAACTATTTTGAGTAAGAAACAAATGTGGATTTAAAAAAACGGTTAATTTAATTTTAGTTAATACTTGATATAGTTTAGTTGCCTGCTTCTCAGTAACATGGCACATGTTCTATTGTATAACATATGATTAACTATTAGCACTTAATCTACTTATGGAACAAGGTATTTAAATAATTATGTATTGTAAATTTGGTAGAAGAAATGCTAAAGAATTCCAATTAACTGCTCTCTGAACCATAAACAGATTTCAAACATTCAATATGCTCAAACAGTATAAAATATGTGAGTGATTATAATCCAGTCAAAAGGTGTGAGATTTGATTTTGAATAATAAATAACTGTCAAGCACGTTCTGAAACCTGTGGATAGATTGGACCTACCCAGTGCAAGGCGAGTTTGGCTCTGACCCATGTGTAGTGTTAAGGCTGTCAGAAACGGAGTCCAACTTCAAGTACAAAGAGGGCTTCTTCACAGACAGAGGCTAAAACATACACAAAACACAAATACAAATAACTATACCAACGCAAAATAGAACAATGACACTAGATTACAACATGACATTACTCACAGGTGAAGAAGTGCCAATCTTCTCCATGTATTCAATCTCATACTCAGCACCTGAAAGAGAAACATGCATTTTTTAGCAACACAACAACGTTTCAAATGCCACAGTCACTCGAGCAGGGGTGAACTGTAGTTGCTTTCCTTGTTCCATCTATGATCCGATAAAACAGACCGCCCACATTGAGAGGCCGCCATTGAGGTCAGAGTGCAATGGGGAAATGGGACAACAGGCTTATTGTGTCACTGAGACTAAATCAATGAGGCTGCTGCTGGATTGGATGTACTTGAAATTATAATAGAACCAGTTTGTGGTTTGCTTTGAAGTCCATGCGTTTCTTCAGTACAACTTAAATATGTTTGTTTAACTTCTGATGTGCTTCATGTTCACACACTTTAAGAAATGGCTTTAGTTTGGATTGGACTAGCACTGTAACAACCTCCTCACTCCATTAATACATTGATTATTCTTTTGTTTAATATATTAGTTATGTAGATGTAAACACAATTTTTAGATGTGGGACCATGTTTCTACATTTGAGCAGCTTTGAGTTAAAATATGTGCCACATTTGAGTATATCAACAAATTAACTGGTAATCTATAGGTTTTGTTCATGCTCAATAATTCTATTTCAGTTAGCGGGCAATAGCCGATACAACTCTATGGGAAAGAAGCCATTTTTTAAAGAAATGTTGAAACAGAAAATGTCCAAATGTTTTTGCAGATCATTATAGTTTTTTTTTTTTTTGTCACCAGTTCTAGACACCTTTACAATGAAATATTTAGACAATGGCGGATATGTCTTGACAAAGAAGATGACAAATCAAATAAATTAGCTACACACTAAGGCAGCTTTTTGTTTGTTCCCATTTTGTTTATTCCCAGGAAAGATTTTTCAACTACCCTCCATCACAATCTTAAACTATGGACTCTTTTGAATGTAGTGATGTCACATGAACACAACTCATTACATTGTTCGTTTAAATATATGAATATGCGTGTTACATCTTGTTGCAGATTTAACAGACTTAAGGATATAGAGAGGGACAGTTAGTTGAAGTTTAGGATGAAAGACAAGCCTGACCTGTCGTTTCTCGGGGAAGGTTGCTCTCGTTCACAAAAGAGGTGAGGTCGCAGGGCTGAGGGAAGTCCTGCTTTTCGGACTTTAGATCTGCGTCTACTCCCTGCAGCGCGCTCCACTTGTGTCCTGAGGAGGAGGCCAGCTTCTCTTCGTCTGTGGCGTGGTCGTCTTGTGCGTGATTTGAGGTGGGCTCTTCTGTGGAGTCCTGCAAATGAAAGTGATGATCGAGAGAGGTTTTAAAAGTCATATCAAATCAATCAAACTGACAATGCATGTGTAAAAGTATGTACCTGAGCCAGTTCTGACACTGGTGATTTCTTTGGAGACCTCTTGACTCTGAAAGTGTTACTGCGGAAGATAAATATAAAATCAGTGCATTATTTAGTTTATACAAGCACCAATTATATGTTTTCAGCAAGTCATGCGTCAACAAAAAACAGTTACATCACAATGTACAATGTAATGTAATTGAGCAGGTTAGTAAGCCTTAATTATGGACACAGATTAACCAGTAAATGATCATGATAAAAATGATACGTGGTAAGAAATATTAATTTGTTCTTGTTTTGCCCTATTGTCACTCTTTGTTGGCCTATATACACCTCCAAGCAAAGGTATGTGTTGATACTATTTACAAACAGCTGATACTACACAATAGTAGTGTGTACATCTCTTCCAGTTGGTGTACTGTAAACATCTGGCTACTAAATATTACTATAAGTGGGTTTCTCTTTTCCATACAATATACAGCACCACCCTCGAATGGCAAAACACGTCTGGTTAAAAAGATGACAGAAACTTAAAATATCGTGTTAGGCTTATTGGCTAAATGGTCCCTGTACTTACAACATACAACATAGTGATGACGCACGCTTGGACTTCTTGTGACATTTAGAATACACAGATACAGGTGACAGACAACATGACAATGTACACACAATGAAAAGTAAACTTGGTCTTCTACCTATGAACTTTGGAACTGCAAACAACAAAGACTACACCGGCGGCACACTTACGATTTAATGGGAGTTTTCTTCTTCTTGGCAGGTTTATTCTGATTTTGGTCTTGTAATTCCCCAATATTGTCATTGTCATTCTCAACATCATTGTCATTTTCCGACAGTTCGAACGATGCAGAGGCCTTTGGAGGCGAGTTGATGATTTTATTTGAGGAGTCTATGGAGTCGTCAAAGTTATTGGGGTCAAAACTGTGACTGGGCCGGGATAATTTGGGGGAGTTGCCAATGCCTTTTTTAGAGGTAAACGGATTAAAATTAGGATCGTCCCACTTTTCATCAAAGTTGTAGGAAACTTTGGGCACTGGGATTTCTTCGTCATTCCCATTGGTTGAAAGATTGTTGTCCAACTTCTCAGGATGTGTCGGAGTAGCTTTTTTCAGTCCAAGCTTTGGTCTCCGTAGAGGCATTTTGGCACCAGGCTTTTTGCCCAGCTTTTTGGGTGGAGGGGTCGCCTGCTGGGCCGCCTCACCGCTCTCTTCTGAGTAATCAAACTCCAGCCTTACGCCTTGACGGTTTGGCAAGATCGCCTGCTCGTCAGGGTTTGAAATAGGCTCTTTAGACAGATCTGTGTCAGGAAGCGGGTCTACAGAAGGACTTTCTGAGGGTATTGGTTCCACGCTACAAATATCTTTACGTCCAAGCACAGGAGAATTGGCAATTTTACTCCCCCCTGTTTTGAAGGGATTGATATTCTCAATATTATCTGGGTCCCATTTGTAGGCACCACTGGGCGGGATGGGGGACTCTTCGTTGGGGTTTGGACTTTTTGAGACTGGAGGCTCCTCTTTGCACAAGGGCAAAGCTGCCCCTGCCTCTTCAGCGAAAGGAGGCGGGGTCACAACGCGGTTCTTCCTGGTCCGCCTCAGTGTCCCGCCAGGACTTGGAGTGGCAGAAATAGTCTCCCCTTCTTCTTGAGGTTGCAAGGGACTGGCCGTACGTGGTTTTGCTCTTTTTAAAATCTCAGGTGTGCTGCTAGATGACGCAGATTTTGCGCTTTCCGGATTAGAGTTTTGACGTAAAATAGGCTTCTTTTTTAGCGAACCACCTCTGACTATCTTTTTAGGCCGATGGAGAGTTCCTGGGGCGCTCCCACTTCCAACAGAGAAAGATTCAGAATGTGGTCGGAACCCTGGAGATCCAAAATGGCCGTCTGGGTGGTCTAGTTCTCCTGCCTGCAGACTGAGGGAGCGGGTCAGATTGGAGTCAAGGTTATAGGACCCACTGGCTGCAATGGGTCTATCCTCATCAAAAGAGGGGGAGTTGCAGGAGCGTTCAAAAGGCAAGTCAGAGACAGAGTTATTGATGGAAGAGTCCCTTACTGAAAAACATAAAATATAAATATAAACTTGGTTAGATTCTTTATTGTAGTCTTTAAAAAAAAAAAAAAAAAAAAAACAGCTACTCAATGGCTGCAAGTACTCAATTAATTGACCAGGCTTTTTTGGTAGTTACAGCATTGATCCACTAGAGGGTGTTCTGAGATCTTCCATAAACTAAAAACATTCAGCAGCAATTTTTGACAAAAGACTGTTTAAAACCTATTTAATAATTTCCTTTACAAAAAATAAATATCCTTGCAAATATACTTGTTGTTGATGTTATTATATGGCGCCAGATTTACGCCAAAAGTCCACACGCTCAAATAACACATACACGCGCAGCTTTATTTAATTCACACGCGCGCAAACTACTCTCCACGCGCACATTTCACACCACACGCGCGCAGACTCAGTACCACGAGCAACAATACGCGCGTGTGTGCGCTCGTGACCTGCCCTCTCCCTTCTCGTGGTCTGTGTTCTGCGCGCGTTGAACACTTTTGCCATCTCTTCTACGCGCGCGTGAAATACTTTTGTCGCTTGGGGGCGGGGCCAGTGAAAGGTAAACAGCCCACTGGGTTTCTTTCTGGGCGACGTTACAGGCAAGTTGTGTGCATAGCTGAGTGGCTAAAGAAGGAAGAACACTGGAGCAGACTTTGTGTTTGTGTCCTACATTATCTAATAATCAAAAAGTCCAATCCATAAGTAATCACTAGGTTACATGATGTCGCTAGATGTAGTTATGATGATCAGTCAAGTTAAAGCAAGCTCAAACAGCTAAAATGCTAACCGGCAGTTAGCATTTTAGCTGTTTTGCTAAGTTAGCTAAGGAGGCTCCTTCGTTTTAGTCTGAGGAGAAACAGCTGTTCATGATTTAGCCTGTGTAGCCTTCTAGTCACAACAAAAGCACATAAATACTTTAGTGCTAAAGTATTCAGCTCTAAAACCACAAAGTGTGTGGTGTTTTTCCTTGATTACAACAACTGGAGAACAAAAGTGATCAACCTGTATACCACTAAAAAGGCAATAATAACTTGAGCTAATGTTGCTTTTTTCCTTTATCAGGAGAACCATAGTCTGTGCCTTGCATCTGTGGAGAGGACTGCTGAGCTGAATGCATGGAGAGACGTGATGTGGATTTATGTTTTCTTTTATTTTTTGCATAACTACTAGTAAAAGTCATCCAGTGATCCTCCTTGTGTCGTGGTCCTTCTTCAGACAGCGCAGAACATGGAACACAACGCAGATTACACTAATAAAGGGGTTAACAGGTGTGCACCAGGTCAAGACTGTAATTGAACAATAAAAACAAGTTACAACGGTGCCCACACCCGTTACAAGTCCATTTCCTGCCATACAAGAACAGTTCAGGGTAAGGATGTACCCCAAGTCTTTGTGGCCATAGTTACTCCCGGGCATCATAAGGCTTTGACTTAATGCCCACTCTCTGACTGGGGAGCACATCTGCCTCAAAACACGGAACTCAGTACCAGAGTCAAAGTATTTCACATTCTTTACATAACACATAATTGTCTGCATCTATAGATTTATATGATTTAGGTTCTCTTTTGTATAGACACTGGGGGCCTGAGTGAGGTAATTATAGATATTAGGCCAGGTAACTGATGGCCATTTTCTCCTATCTACAACCCACTGTTCTGTGAGAATAGTATTATTACATGTTTATTTGACAGGCACAGAACAAAAAGTATTGTTACAGGTAACCAATGCCATGTTCATAGGCCGTATAGCAAACAGATAATTGGCAGTCGCTAAGGCATAAAAATATTAGAGATTTCAGTTCAGCAGGTAAAATGTTCCAGAGCTGTGGCTCTTCGACTGCAAACGAAGTCTGACCAAATGATGTTTTACATCTTGCCGGTCTGCAGTGTGTGTGGATCAGGAACTGGTGCCCATCGCAGAGGACCAATTTATGAAGATAACCTGCACGATCAGAACTATTCAGGGGTTCTGTGTAGTGTGTAGAGATGATAGCCATCCTAAACTAGCAAACACAATACAGGTACAGAAGCCAATTATGACAGGTTGAAACAGCTTAGCCCCAATTTTAAGTTCATTTTAATAAAAATACATGAAATCAAATGAAGTTTACTACTATTTAGCAATGTTAACAATTCAGATAGCTCATTTGTTTCAAAACTTTGTATACACATTTTTGATATTTGGGTTTATGGACTGACAGATTTATTGCTAGTTAGCATAGACTCATTAGGTCAACCCCCTATAATTATGCAAATAAAAAGCAAACAAATAACTCAGAGACAGTTTTATTAAACTTTGATAACGGTCCTGACATGATTCTGACAAAGCATTCAGTGTAAACAACGTACAGCGATCACAAAGGTCCCGGGATGTACCTGGCTAGCCTTGCGGCAACATAGGCTGATGAGAGAGAATATTAAACATTTACGAACTAAACATGTCCTGGTGTAAGCCTATAGGGTGTCCACAACAGTGTACATACCACGTTAAAGACTACAATAGCCAGCCCAGTTAGGGTTATAAAAAAGATATACAGTCTATGGATTAATCATATGCTTTCCATGCATAAGCATTTCATCTCCAAGCTGCAGTGGGCTGTTTACCTTTCACTGGCCCCGCCCCCAAGCGACAAAAGTATTTCATGCGCGCGTAGAAGAGATGGCAAAAGTGTTCAACGCGCGCAGAACACAGACCACGAGAAGGAAGAGGGCAGGTCACGAGCGCACACACGCGCGTATTGTGGCTCGTGGTACTGAGTCTGCGCGCGTGTGGTGTGAAATGTGCGCGTGGAGAGTAGTTTGCGCGCGTGTGAATTAAATAAAGCTGCGCGTGTATGTGTTATTTGAGCGTGTGGACTTTTGGCGTAAATCTGGCGCCATATTATTAGTTGGCAGATATTAGTTGTTACAGTTGAAAAATGAATAGTAAGTGCTGCTTTTCTGTTTTTATCATACGCCATACCATAAAAAGGGATTTATTAGCCAATTTTTTTCCATACCTTGCTCACCAGTTCCAGGTTGCTGGTTTGGAGTTTCTGCAGGAGACAACGCCTTCACTGGAGTGGTCGATTCAGGGGTCTCAAAGGCACCATCTGAATCCGAGCTTCTGAAAAAAATGACAAAGAAATAAAAATGAATGACCCAATGAAACGCTGTAATGTCTTATGGGAATCGCTGTATAGGCATGTTTTAATAAAGTCACTATTGTATGGAAGGCAATAACAGAAGTCCACAGGGGGTATCTCTGATGAACACTGGTTTTTATTGACAATATCATCCGCAGGCCCTTGAGGTCATAACTGCACAGATGAGCCCTTAAACCTATAGTAAAACAGCAACAGCAGGGCAGATTACCAAAGTGAACGCTCAGCAGTCCATGGAAAATCACCCAAGATATGAATAATTAATAAGAGAACAGATGTAAGTAATTGGTTTGTTAGAAAGTGGCTCTTCAAAGACAAGACAGTAATATAATAATATAGATAATGTGTTATTAATAACACTTCTATTACAACTTGGCCATTAACATGCAGCCCCATAACTATTGTGCAACCAAAAATACAAATTTCAGGCCAATAAACCGTTTTTCATGCATTTAATTCAGTGAATGATAAAAAAGGTTCATGTCAAATTAATATTATGATAGTTGCACTTATTTCATATGTGTCAGAGATAATTAATTCTAAAATGTATAGGAAAGAAAAAAATGCTATGGGTGATCTTCCAATATCATTATTCATCTCGGAGTAATTGTGGCACAGGACATGATCTCGTATTCTTATGCAGAATAAATCACTTACACTTAGTTTAAGCAAATCAACAGAGAAACAACAGTATATTCTCCAAATGCACTAACACTTGCCTCCATCTCAAATCAGTCACCTGTCAGCTGATGGAGTGAACACAAATGGATTCAAAGGGTAATTTAGTAAGATGACTAAGCATATCAACAGGGTTGTTCATTTTAATGTATTCACTTTTAACTTATTACAAGACCTGACGTCACTGAGACCAGAGCAACACTCATGATCCTCCTTTTCTGCAAATCAATACATGCCCCTGTCAATCCCTCACCTCTGCCAGACCCTGACAATACTGTCATGGCTGGACCCCCATGAGATCCGACGTAGTATCCCCAGGGAGGACTCTGATCCTGGGCTGTCCCCGTCTGGAGTGGTCGCCCCTCCCACCAGCGAGTCCCATCCCCAGCGAGCCCACTGCAGAGGAGACAGCGCCTGCCACGCACTCACTGCCATGCTGGAACCAGGATGCTGCTCTTCCGCACTACGCTGCTATTGGTCGACGTGAAAGGTAGACGCGCACTGACTGCCGATGACGCTACCCTCCACTGCTGTCTCCAGCTTTTATAATACGATGTAAAAACAAAATTCTTCAATTCTTAAGATCCGTCTTGTAATGAGGAGGCAAGGAGTCAATCTTATTCTTCATCCAATTGAAATTATAAAAATGAAATTACAAATCCCTTGCAGATGTCCATTCCCCTGCAGGCTGTATTTGGTGCTTCTCCTCTGCTTCTGTTGCACTCTCGTTTACTGCTTCAGCCTTTTACCTTGCCTCCCCCTCTCTCTCTCTCTCCCTCTCTCTCTCTCTCTCTTTCTCATCATACTGCTGTATCCAAAAAGAGGAAAAAGAAAGCCCACCAATCAGAGCAGCTCTCATTAAACAAGCATTTGCTGAAAAGATAGACTGCATTCATATACAAAATGGAAACAAATGAAACAAACCTGAATGTAAAACTAGTCATTTTGATGAGTATTTTATTACCACCAGCAGCACATTTGAAAGCACATCACAGCACAAAGCAGTAGAATAGGGAAACATTCACATGTATAAAATCTATTAAATCATAGAACACTGATAGTGACGGCATGTTAAACAAACTAGAGACACATCACTTCAAGTGGCCTTGGATAATGCCTCTGATAATCATGGTTTTTGGTTAATGGTGTTTATCAACTATAACAATATTGTTGTAAGAGAAGAGGCAGAACCAGTTTTGTTTTTGACCTTGAAGTTTGTAAAAAAAATACTGTAACACTGTAAACACTACACATAGTAGGCCTGGGATTATTATCAAATTAACGAGTTGGATACATTTTAGCTTCAACAGCAAAAAAACAAATTGTGGCTGAGCATTAATGTAAGATCAATCTTACCTGATCATCTTGTCCATTAGAGCTGCAACTAACGATTATTTTGTAATCGATTAATCTATCAATTATTTTTACGATTAATCGAGTAATCGCGTAATCGCTTGGCTGTTAATTGTGTAGAAAAAAAAAATGTTTCATCACAAAAAGCTAAAGTGGCAACACTCGAGGACGTATTGATGGCGTAAACTTAAAGTAAATGTTTGTAACAGGCTCTTTGTGCTAATTCTGCTATCTGATTGGATGAGACAGACAGATATTCATAAAATTATAAAAACAAAGTCGGTTTTAATCAAAAATACTACATTTTCATGTCATTTTTGCTCTGTTTGAGTCCGTGTGAACCAGAAAACGATTAATCGATTACTAAAATAGTTGTCGACTATTTCAATAATCGATTAGTCGTCAATTAATCGATTAGTTGTTTCAGCCCTATTGTCCATAAAGTCTACAGATTATCACTTCTCACAGATTTTTTTTGAAAGATGCCCTGGGAAACGGCTGCAAGTCCTAAGTAGCTCTGAAACAGTTGTTGTCTTGTGCTTTACAATTTTTTATTTTCTTGCTTTTTTCTACCTAAGATGTTGCTGCAGTACAGTGTGCATAGTTTTGCACTGGTCCAGACCGTAGTGGAGAGGATTCATGGTCCGAACCAAGAGGATCAGCTGAAAATCCACTGGAGGAATGCTGACTTTTTGAAAAATGCTAATGAAGCATTTAGCCTTTTACTTTGGACTAAAGCAGAGAAAATGGTCCGAACCAAGCGGCTACTGTGACCCGTCCTGCTCCACCCAGAGGCTACTCCATCTCTGCTGCTGTGACCTGAAGGGCTGTTGGTGATTATTACTATTGCTATCTTTTAGAATGATCAATTTTGTTTTTATTTTTGCTACTGCTGGACACGTGAATTTCTCCTATGGGGATCAATAAAGTATCTATCCATCTATCTATCAAACACGGTATCTATCTAGCAAGCACTGTGTTACCATGGAAACAAGAGGCTGTTGCCACCATATGTTTAGGAACACACACACGTACACACAATATAGACAGAAAATAACTGATGACTAGACTATATTTTACCTTCTACATGATGTGATTTTTTTGGGTATGAAAATTAATGTTTTTTTTCTTAGTATTCTTTATATGAAAACAATGAAAGGACTAAAACCAGACCAATACTCAAAGGCAGTCATAAGAACAATTAACGCTAAAGCAGTTGTCTATGACATCAATAAGCTGCCACTTGTGTTCTGCTGTCTACATGCAGTGTCTATTTTCAGACCAGAGGAGCAGTGGCAGACAAAACAGAGCTGTGGTGAGTGGTGTGATCAGGGCACATAGAAGGAAACAAAGAGGACAGCAGCAGAAGGCGCTAATAACAACATCTCACAGCAGAATGGAGAGACAGACGCAGCTACGGTCAAAGCCTTCACTGCTGCAGCAAAACGTGTAGGGGAAAAATACTGCTTATACCTAAAGGGAGAGGGCCGTGTTTACATCCGGATTTCTAGCAGCGGTGGATTAGCCACAATTAAATGACAATTGTGTTCATTTTTGTCAATGCAAACTCTACATTTGAACACAGTTGTTTCAGCTTTTGAAAATGCTTTTTGGATGATCTGCTATTGTATCACTGTGGGTTAAAGGATCAATTAAAACATTCTCAACTCAATTTCTGTCTATCATGAAGTAAGTACGAGAATAAATTTGATTGTAATGTAACATGATGTAAAATTATGGATTACGAGTACTATTCCAAAGCTCTGTATTTAAATTATCTCTGTATTTAAATTATGTGCTAATTAATGTACAAATAAGGTTTTCAAGCTCATTTTTCTTCGCAGTCAGTCCCTTTAACCTCTTAAGCCCAGAGGCCTTTTTTCCCGAAAAAGCTATAATCTACATTTACTAAGGTTTCATATAGTATTTAGCCAGATATGTGGCCAAACTTGGTACCAAATTACCTGGTGGACCTTGGGGATTGCTGTGGAAGTGAAAAAAGATGATAAATTGTATTGGTTGCCAATAAAATTAGGTTGAAACAGACAATTCTAACTTCCGCCTAAAAAAAAAACACATATTTTCCCTCAAAAAAGCTTTTTCCTGTCTGTGGTGTAGCAAATAAGAACTAAAATTGACAGTTCCCGATATTTTGGACCAGTCCAGCAAAAATTGTGCCAAATAAACAAACCACTGCAGAGTTGTACATGGAATTGGAAAAAAAGTCCAGGCGGAATCCAACTGTGCCAAAATTGTGCCAAATGGCACAAACATGTCTGTAGAGTCATCGAGATAAACTTTGGCACCCGGTTCCCTAGCAAGAAGCTCTACAACCTCCTCGCGTGTATAACGCTGTTTTGCCATTTTTAATTTCGTCAAAATTCCGAGTACCTGCCGTGCGTAAAGGCTTTGCGCACAGCCTCCTTCTGCCCCAACTATACGCATGTACACGCCTCCGCGGTACTTTGGCCAATCAGGGCATGTTATACCATTTTGGAAAGAACACACCTTCGGCTATCAAAAACCATTGAAAACGTATTGATGGACAGCACCTGTGGCCAATCACAGGAAGAGATACACAGAGGTACGTGACATGACGCACGGGTGCAGCCTATCACAAAGGGCCTCTTACAGAAGGAGGAAGTAACTGGTATCTGCCAGGTCGCTAGAAAGCCTCGCTATGAGGTTGAATACAAGAAAAAACGGACTTTTATTCCTATGGAAATGACTTGTGATGAAAAAACAGCAAAAGTAAGTCGACTTTTACTTCAACGCTGATGTTTTACGGCTTTGTTTTCTGGCATTCGTCTGCGGCTTGGTCAGCGAGTATTAGAGCTAGCGTTACCAGGCTTAAAGCGTTGTGTTCAGCTCGGAGAGGGCTTTCTAATGGTATGCTGACAGCAGGGCTACTTATTGTTTTGAGGGCGCTTGT